ACATAATGAAAATACATCTTTTTCTTGTTTTGTCTTAGCATTCACTTGAAAAGTGCCAGAGACATGACTACTAATGTAAAGCAGAAGTAATTTGTTTCAGTGCTATGCTAGTCTCAGTGGCGTCATAAAAATGAGTTGCATACACAAAGATGTTGTCTGCTGTTACTTTCTTTAACCTCATAAAAATAATCTCTTAGCTATTCTTGCTATACATTTTTATAGCATTTTGAAGTCCAGGCTACAAACAGTTTTAAATTAATTTTGATATAGTGTATGTAATGCAAAAACAACAAAATACTTTTCTGCTTTTCTCCACGTTAAAGGAACTTAAAGCTGGATTTACTTTATATGCGTTGCCTAACCTTGCACATTGAACTATTTTTCTTTTCTTAAAAATGAGGAGTCCGGTGACACCTTAAAGTTAGTCTTTAAGGTGCCACAGAACTCTTTGTTTTTGCAGAGAAAGATTAAGACAGCTACCCCTCTGAGGCATTTCTTTTATTAGAGAAGTGTATAAAAATATTCATTGGTATTATATATGAGCTACAGATTGTACATTAATCCTCTTGACATTGGTAGCTAATATCACAGCACTGTGGAAAATAACCTATTAAATTATATGTACAGTTTGTATTTATCACCCAGTAGTTGTATCCCTAGATAGGTGTTTGTCCAACCAGTTCTTAAAAACATCCAGTGATGAGGATTCCACGACCTCCCTTGAAAGCCTATTCCAGGACCTAACTTTCTATCTACGAGGGTAGTTTCCCCTAATATCTAACTTACCTCTCCCCTGCTGAAGGTTAAGCCCATTATTTCTTTTCCTTCATTTTAGTGGCTCTAGAGAACAATTGATCAGTATTTAATATATTTGAAGACTGTTATCAAGTCTCCTCTTCCCACCTGCCTTCTGTCATCTTTTCTCCACACTAACGATGCCTAGTTTCATGATCTTTCTTCATAGGCCATGTTTTTCCAGACCTCTTATAATTTTTGTTGATCTCCTGCAGACTCTTCAAATTCTTCACCCATCATGAAGTGTAAACCCAAAACTAGACACAGTATTCCATCTGAGACCTCTCTATAGCCAAGTAGAGAGAACTGTTTTTTTCCCAGCTATTATATATAACACTGCTGTAATGCACTCCAGAGTAATATTAACCTATTTCACTACTCATTTTTAAGTTTAAGGTAGTTTCAGTTACTACACTTGCTCCAGACTTCCTCTGCTTTTTTGATGAATTTATAATCACAGCTCCCCGTTAACTTGAAAATATTTTTCTTTTTACTGCTGTTCTGTAAAATCCACACAAACAGGGAAATTGACTATAATGGGAAAACTGTTGAACTGCTATACAAAGTGCTATCAGTTTCACAACGTAATTTTTTCCTCTTTATTATATTAGCTTTAAGTGATTTTTAGTTATTTTTAAGTTGACTGTGTCCCTTTTAAACTTTCTAGAAGCTTGAAATGTGAAACACCCTCAGGAATATTTAAGTCAGCAGGGTGACTTGTTGATTATCATATCTATTTGGCCTTTGATTTTGCTTTTAGAGTGCTTTTGGATCTGATTATCTTGCTTTATTTAGTTGCTGCAGCAAGATGGCAGTATCGATGTTTTCATTTCTTTTTTTTAGGCTGCTTTTATTCTTCAGAACCTTCTTGTAATCCCAATGCCAACAGAAGAAGTGAAAGATTGTGCTTGGCAGGTGAGTTAACTACATTTTAGTAAGGAAAGTCAGTGTGGCAGAAGTAGATTAATTGAAATTAAAATAGTGTTGCATCCCAGATATGTACCACATGTAAGAGAAAGAAATAATTCTGTGTAACTGTCAGAACTGATATATTCAAAGAGAAAAATATGGATATGAATATTCTTTTCATGTTTTCAGATAGCTTGAGGGAAATAATAGCCTTTTGTTTAACTACATGGAATGTACTATACAAAATGTAGGTGATAGTCTGATTATATTAGTGATACCTTAAGAGAATCAGTCGGTGGAAACAATAGTTTACAAAAAATGGTGAGGATCATGCTGTATAAATAACCTCAATCTCTCTCTTTTAAAATCTAAAATATCAAGAACCCCTGTGCATTCCCACTTTTGGCATATGGCATTTCTGTTGTTGAGATGTGGAACTGCCATGAAAAGCCATATTCATTAGTGTGGTGGCTTTCAAACTCTTTTTCTTGTGACCCAATTGAAGAACATTGTTGATCCAGTGAGCCAACATAATTTGAATAGAGTATAGGCTCCGGGTTGGAGTTGAGGATGAGAGCTTTGGGGTGCAGGAGGAAGCTCCAGCTTTGGGGGAGGGGTTCAGTGCTGGGGCAGGAGGAGTTTTCCTTGAGTGGCTCCTGATCAGCAGTGCAGTGGGGGTGCTAAGGCAGGCTTCCTGACACTCCTGGCACTGCAGACTATGCTGCAACCCAGCAGCAGCCAGCAGCTGGTTCCCAGCCAATGGGAGTCAGAGCTAATGCTCAGGACAGGGGTAGTGCGTGGAGCCCTGTGTACTTTCCCATCCCCCTCCTGCAACCTGGGAGCTGGGCCTGCTGCTGGCCTCTTCTGGGGTATAGTGTAGTCTGCAGTGTCTAGAAAGGCAGCTAGTCTGCCTTAGCACCCCCACTGATTACCCTGCAGCAACCAGTGTGTAGCATTCCATGACCCAGTACTGAGTCACAATCCATAGTTTGAAAACCACTGCATTAATGGATGCGTGAGAGGCCTTGCATGTGGGTGATGTCTTTTGCATATTGCCTGAGGGAGTGTACCCCTCAACCACCTCAGTTCTTCACCATGATCCTAAGGATGATCTCACCTTTATTTTCTCAGACTAATCCTTCCCTTAGACCTAGTCTACACTAGGAGTTTAGATTGAATTTAGCCGCACAAGGTAGATTTTTCTAAACAGTGAGTCCACACTACTGTCAACAGAATGGGTCCACACAACTCATTCTGTTGACTTTAAAGGTCACTAAAGTTTATATCAATACTCTTGCTTTTCACGGGGAACAATGCAAGTTTTGACTTTGCATGGTCAAATTCAGAGTTGAGAAAGTCGAGATTCTTGGCCTCTGGGAGGCATCCCACAGTGCCCCGCTCTGGTAAGAATTTGCATCTATACTGCTTTTGATGTGAACAGAAAAAGCCCCAAGGAAAGTTTGAATGTTATTTTCCATGTGGCCAGCATTGTGAGCAAACCTCAGAGCAGGCAGTCCACATGAGCAGCACACATGGCCATAACTTCCACGAGTTCAAGGCCCATGAGCTCCAGTTCCCAGAGGTGCAAAAAAGTCTTCAGGAGATCTTGTACTTCATTGAGGTATGGGGAGAGGAATTCATTTTCTCAGAGCTGTGAAACAGCAAAAGAAATGCTGATGTCTTTGAGAAGATAACAAATTGTATTGTGGCGAAAGGTTACTCCAGGGACCCCCAGCAGTGCCATTTTAAAATAAAGGAACTGAGGCAGTCCTATCACAAAACTAAGGAGGCAAACATATGGGTATGGTGCATTGCTGCAAACATGCCGCTTCTATGACAAGCTGCATGTGATCCTATGGGGGGACCCGACCAACTTCGCAAGCCAAACCGTAAAGTCTGCCCAAGACTTTCAGCGTGGCAGACTGTGTGTCAGTGGAGGGTGAGGAGAATGGCCAGCCGGCGAGCATCAAGGGCAAGAACTTTTCATCATTTTAGAGCCAGTCTTCTCCTCCCAGGATGTCTCACAGTCAAACATTGATCCTAGGGAGGGCACTTCTGGAGAGTTCACAGTTTTCTTAGTATAAATGGTTAAGGCACTTGGGTGTGATGTGTGGTATACTCTGTGCCTACTAGGGATGTTAAATTGCAGATAATCAGCTAATCGAATAGTTGATGATCAGTGATTAAGGGGAGGGTGAGCTTGCTACCCCTGCTTGCAGCTCTGCAGTTTGAATGTACTAGGAGCTGGATGGCAGCTAACCCCTCTGTGGCTATGCCTTTTAAATGAAGTAAGAGCCACATCTCTGCCTTTTAAACGTAGTAAGAGCCTGGCTCTTACTTCATTTAAAAGGCAGAGCCGCAGTACTGCTGTGCCTTTGCCTTCCCCCCAGCACGGCTTCTGCTTCCCTCCACTTTCTCCTTGCTGCCTCTGATAAAGAGGTTCTGGGACTACGTTTGGAATGCAGGGGGGCTGGGGCAGGAGCTTGCTGTGCAGAAGGGAGTTCATGACTAGGGTAGGAGTTCAGGATGTGGGCTCCAGCTGGGCACTGCTTACCTCAGGTGGCTCCTGAGTGCTGGTGCAGTGGGGCTAAGGCAGGCTCACCCCTGCCCTGGCCCCGGCCCACTCCCTAAAGTAGACAGCAAACTCCATCCCAAGTCCTGTTGCGCCCCCACTCTGCTTTGAAAGGATACAGAATGGGAGGGGGCACCTTGACATCAGCAGGAGGCTGCCTGGGGGAGAGGCAACTCCAAGGCAAAGGGCAGGAGATAAGGAGCAGTGCGGGGAGGAGCAGCTGAAGTGCTGGCACTTGACAGCCTCTTGGCCAAACCAGTTAGGATCACCTGTTAGAGGCTCCAAGATCTACCAGTAGATCCTGATCTACTGGTTGGTGACCACTGTCCTAGTGATACTCGTTGGATTGGTTATGGAGGTCCCTGAGGGGCATCATTCTGTTAGTGTATATAGACAGAGGCTGGTCCAGCAGACCCTGCGAGACTGGAGCAGTCCCCTGCTCAGGGCAGGTGGGGAGTTCCCACTAGCTCCAGCTCCCACTAGCAAACCCAGAACTAACCGGTTAACCATTTACATCCCTACCACCAACCTCTTGGCACTATTTTCATTCTCTGGTTCCATATAAGAGACAAAGTGGTCAGAGAGAGGTCAGTCACCAATGACCAAAGATGAGAAGGCTAATGGAGTGTGTCCTGCATCGGAGATGTTGAATCTAGTTTTGGTGGACTCTCTAACGTGGGAGAGCTAGATGGTGATTTGGATATTCCATCCACCCCTGAAACATTGGAGGAGGCCAGGAACCTCATTGAAATGGTAGCCTTGCACTCTCCATAACCAGTGCACAGGAGCAACGTGCACACATGTATGTGGAATGGATATGAGCAACACGTCATAAGTAGCAGTTTTGAGAGGTAGATAACTGTTTTATTTTAACCGATCAGAGAGTCAAGTCAATAATTTAAAATGTAAAATTACAATCAGCATTAAATTTTGTATTGGAAAGAAATGCAGCTCCTCCCTCTCCCCTTCACCCACCTCGTGTCAATCTAAGTTGATTTGTTTGTAAACAAGTTAACACAAGAAAGTTCAAATGAAAAGCTGACAAAAAGAATATGGAGGATAGTAGGCATGGACAGTGGATAATATAGCCAGGGGAATTTTTTTTCTTCCCAAAAAAATCTGGGGAGGAGGGGATCTCACCCACCACAATCAGGCTGGCTGGGAAGGCTGGGGCTGTAGTGGTGCTGCCTGGCTGCTGTGGAGAAGCTGGGGCCAGGGTCACATGGCTGTCTAGCTACTCCTGGAATGGGGAAGTGGAAAGGGGTGGAAAGCTAGGTTTGCCCAGTGCTCTGGGAGCAGGGAAACTGGAGCTGTACAACTGCCTGGTGGGTGGGGTATGTGTGCAATAGCCTTTGGTGCACCCAAATGTAGGGATGGGGTGCAGGATGGGGCCAGTGGCTCTGGGGGGCACAGAAGAGGTGGGGCTGGGACTTGCCTCCCTAAGTCAGGCCTTCAACCATTGCCCATGATAGTAGGGAAATATTTCATAGGCATGAAGTACATTAAGACTTTTTTTTCCTTGAGGCAAACATTTTAAAGGTTTTTAATAAAGAGTGTAGGCTAGATTTTGGGTGTTAATGTTTATTGCATAGTTAGTATAGTTATTTTTCTTAATGGCAATGTAGCAAGCTCTCTGTCTCCCACATCTTTAAAATGGCATAGCACACTTTTGCCATCAGTTAAAATCAACCCATATAATTTGATGTTACTGGATCACAACACAGTATGTTACCTCAAGGTTGTTGAAGTCACTGCATGCTGTGAACATAATTGGTGAAAGACTCCAGTGATTTTTAGCACACCCATGTGGCCATGAAATGCTTGGAACAGGATTTTAAAACTGGCATAGGATCTCTTGAACTGAATGTCATCATATTTATTGTAGAATAGTGATAGAGATGTAGCCGTGTTAGTCTGGTGTAGCTGAAACAAAATACAGGACTATGTAGCACTTTAAAGACTAACAAGATGGTTTATTACCAAAGGATATATATATATGGTTGTGACTATTTTCTTCCACTATTTGATCTGAGGAGTGGGTCTGGCCCACGTTATTGTCTGCAAAATTCCCTAATTATGCAATTGTTGTGGTTGATATAATGCATAGCGCTGTTACCTCAGTGGATGGAGTGTAGCCCTCTAACTCATTGTTAACAATTTATGCAAAGCACCGAATTGTTTGATGTTGTTTTTAATTTCTGATTGTGCTTCAGTGGATGCAAAAAGCAAATGTTGATTTTTTTTTTTGGCACGGTTCTGTATTAATACTACATTACACTCAAAATAACTTTTATTTAACTGTGCCAGATATTCTCTTTCGTATGTTTTCTATTCTGGTATATTTCATTTTCTAAATAATGTTATATTTCTTATTGGATTAGAATGAATGGATCCATTTTAGGGTTTCTGTAGCCTTCAATCAGTGTCTGGGTTTGTTCAAGATATTTATTTTTAGAGACAGAGAAATTAAAGTGCTGCTTGGAAGAGTATTGGTAAAGTATATTAGAGGTCTATAAAAGTGAAATGTCTTTTAATGAATCTACTGTTACCCCCTAAAAACACTCATTCTAAATTCTTAAAGTTATTTTTATTGTAATTAAAAATATGGAATAGAGCAAGGAGTGTGGATGTGCATTGTAGTGAATTGCCTTTCAGTGCATGCTTTAGCAGCAGCATCTATTGGCTTGAGCCAAGAATTCTAATACTCCTTGAAGTTACTTTAGTAATTTAGCTTTGCTCAGAGCTGCTTTTTCTCATCATTGACATAAACTGTCAATTGCTGTCCATAAATAGAATTAAATAAGAAATTTATAAAAACTTGACTACTTGTGATTTATAAGCAAGTCCTAAAACTCATCACAAATGAATGCAATGCTTACAAATCTATACAATGTACGATAGAACACGTTGCCATGATACAGACGTTTTTTATTTTAGTTAAATATAATTTTTATATTGAGACTTTTCTTTAGGCTGTGTAGAAAAGTTTTGGGCTTCCTTTCACCCACAGGGGAGTATGTATTGTAATTTAGATTCTTGTAAAGAAATACATTTTGATTACCTTTGTTTCCTCAGGGGCCTTGTGTGCATGATGAAGAGTCTGGTCTGTCTCAGATAGGAAAACCTGCCCTTCAGGCTCTATTATATCATTGCCACTTTTATGAACATTTGAATCAGATGGTGAAGCATTGTTACCTAGGTCGATACACATTTGATTTGAATTGTTCCATGGGAGAAAGCCTTATGGTAGAAAAAAACGGCATAAATGGTAAGTGAAATTGTTACTTCACTGGTATGCTTTTAACCCAATATCTCTTCTAATTGGAATTTACCTGTAGTTGTTTTTATAGAAACGCATTCATTGCAACTGTAATTTTAAATTGAATGTATACTTAAAGAATTAAGTTGTATGTGTATAAACTTAGAATTGTTGGTCTCTTAAAGGTGCTTAAAGGAGTCCAGCATTCTAGAGACAAGTACGCAGCAGGGCTGACAGTCTCTGTGGGCCCCTGGGCAAATGTATATGGAGAGAGAGCAACTCTGTGATCTCAGAAAGGGTGGAGCCTCAGGGGAAAGGTGCAGGGCCAGAGCAGCCAGCCCTCCACGCTGCCGTGCATGGTATAGTGCTCCGACAGCAATTTAAAAGGGGCCCAAGCCCCTTTGAAACACTGGATCCCTTTTGGGAAGCTACCCTTTTGGCCCCCTGTCAGTGCATCTGCAAGTATGTGTTTTGTAAATGTGTTCATAGAAATTATAGATGGAAAATATCTACTAGATCGTTCTTTCTGTCTTCCTGCAAAAGGGAAAGATGAGGAAAAATATTCAATTAGTTCAACTTTTAAGAGATGTAACTTTGCAGTACAATAGCAGTGAGAAAGCTCAGAGAGGTGTTGAATATGTAGCCTGCTCTTAAAAAAATGAAGTGGTCTTCATAGCCTCTTGAGAAGACACAATTTGTGCATCTTAAGGCCCTTTCATAACAGAAGGGTGTGGTTCACACTTACGCTGACACATGGCATAGCAGGGAATGTGTAGTGAATATTGAATATTATTTGGCATCTATGGAAGCCAATTCTCATTGATCTTAATGGGTGAATTAACTCATACTGATGCAAGGCAGGAGAGTAGGGTTTGCTATGACTCCATATATAGATTTTCCCAAACCATTTTGCTAGTTGATATAGTATCTCTTTTGCTAGCATTGCACAGATTGAAAGTGCTATCTAGGGTCTCATCAGTGAAATTATTATACATAACCTTGAAACCACTACTCCTTGTGCTAATTTGCAGTAGGGCAGCACCTTTATTTGTGTCTTAAATTAAAGTACTTAAAACTGCTATTTACCACCTCAAACAGAAACCTAGTTTTGGAAATTCTGAGTCTAAAATCATTTTAGAGTCATTGTTGTCTTACTACTTTCCTCACATTACATTTCTTTATCGTTTTTCTTGGTAGGTTTCTCTTGCCTAGTCCTGTTTAGATTTCCTGAAACTATTCTATTTGTTTCTTGGTGCTTCATGTATTTTCCTTCCTTACATTCTACAGTGACGAAAGAAGTTTGCCTGAGGTGCAGAATACCTGTTTCTAAAGGAAGAAAACCAAAACCTATTCTGGATACTTACTGTTTATTTATTGCTGCAGTTTTTGGCATTTTGGATATGCAACCATACAGCCTCATGCTGCTGTACAAAGCTAGGCAGAATTAGAGTTTGTAATTATTTTTAGGGGAGAGCTCAAAGGAAAACTTCCTGGAGTACCATGCAGTGTGGCATTGGTGACATAGTATTTAGCACTTTTCATTTCTAGCCCACCTTTTCTCTCTTTTCTGGGATCCTAACAATATTGGGGATTTGCAGGAAATGGTGGAGGGAACTAAGGTGATTGGAGCAACAGGCCACCTTTTATAGGCTTGCCCTTAGAAAATAGACATATACAAAGGGAAGGGACTAA